AAAATTGTTTTAATAGAAATATTTTATACATTTCAACCGAAAGCAGTGCTAGCTATTTAGTCATTGAATGCCAAATATTTCCTTGGAGGGAAACGGCTAATATTACCGTCATCGTTGCCATCCCAGGACTGAAGGAACTCCTCGACAAGGTAGTAAAAAAAAGAGAAGTGATTTTATATATTAAATTAATTTTATTATTATTATTTTATTTTTTAATATTTTATATTGATTAATTTATATTAATATGTTAATATTTTTGAATATTTAAAATTAATATTATTATTCTTTATTAATATATTAAATTAATTTATATAATAAATTATACTCTTTATATAACTTTCCTTTATATATATTCCTTTCTTTATATATCCTTCTGAGTTTTCATTCAATTTTTACAATGAAAACATTTGGCAGAGTAAAAGGGACGCTAATTTACATGGCTTTGGTCTTATTTTCTGCTAGTTTTAGGGTTTTTTTTGTTTTTAGTATTTTAATATAATATAGATTACTATAGATATTACAATTCTCCGTTGTAACAACCGTTCCGAAGTGAAATTTCTCTATGGACTACTAAAATATTAGGTTGTCCCAAAAGTTTGTAAACACTTGCAAAAAATTGAAATTTTACACGCCAAGTAATAACAAAAACAACAAAAATTATTCCTCAAAATAAAGACCATCATTTTCCAAGACTTTCTGTCATCGATCTGCAAGCTTTCGAATCTGGTGAAAGTACCATTCAGCCGGCTTCGAATCAAAGAATTCTTGATACGCTTCCTCGACTTCATCAAACGCGTCGAATCGGCGGCCCTTCAGAAAGTGTTGCATTGAGCGGAAAAGGCCGTAATCTGATGGAGCACAGTCAGGACTGTAGGCTGGATGTGGCAGAACCTCAACGCCGTCCAGCTCTTCAAACTTGTCTTTGGTCTTCCTGGCGGTGTGTGGCTTGGCATTGTCCTGCTGCATCAAAGCGGGCTTTCGGTTGATCAGAGCCGGGTACTTTTGCTTCAACTTTTCGTAGACCCGCTCCAGTTGCTGACAGTAAAGTTCAGCACTGATGGCACGACCATTCGGAACCAACTCAAAATGCACGATTCCTTCAAAGTTCCACCAAAGGCACAACATGACTTTCTTGCCGAATCGATCTTGTTTTGGCACCGACGGTGTCTCTTGCCCTTTCTGAACCCATCGCTTGTCTCGATTGTGCTGGATCAGATAGACCCATTTCTCGTCCGATGTCACAATGCGCTTCCAAAAACGCTCGTCCAATGGATTGCTGAGAAATTGACGGCAAATTTCAACTCGTCTGTTGGCTTGTGCTTTCGGTGAGTTCGTGCGGATCTTGGCGCGGCTTTTTGTGAACAAAATCAAGTTACTTCAAGTGTCGGTGAATTGTCGATTTGCCAACTCCAAAGCTCATCAGCCAATTCTCGAGTGCTCGATGAAGGCGCAATGTCCAACCCGGTTTGCAAGTCTCCATCATCCAACTTTAACGGCCGTCCCGAACGAGGCTCATCTTCAAGACTCATGTCGCCAGAATCGAAACGCTTATACCACTTTGAGATCGCCGCATCTGCAATTGTTCCTTCACCTTCGGCAGCACAAATCTCTTCTTCTGCTTTTCTGGTTGAAAGACCTCGCTTCCAGCAGTAACGAATCAAAACTCGCAGCTCAATTTTATCAATTTCCATCTGGAATACAAAGATGAAGATCACTATAGCAATATAAACGCAAAAAAAAAAACAATTAAATAAAAATTTTAATGAAATAATTTTTTTTCAAAATTATCAAAATTAACAATAAAGTAAAAAAACAATTAAAAAATGCATAAAAATTCAATTTTTCGCAAGTGTTTACGAACTTTTGGGACGACCTAATATTACTGTGGACCCCCAATTTGCTATTTTTATTGGGTGGGACCCAGTAATGTCGCATGGACTGCCGGGGTTAATATGGATCCTGATTGAGAACATTTTCTTTAGAAAGAACTGGAAGCCCAATATTAAACAGGAAACAAGGAATAAACCTCTACTCCTGTTCAAAACACTGGGGAGAAGTGTGAACCGATCTTTTGAACAGGTATAGAAATTTATCCCATGTTTCTTGTTTAGCCGATTGCGTCTTGTTTGGAGTGAGTTTCGACTGGGCAGTGAATTTGATCCTCACAGGGTGCTCCATATTTGCGTCCTTGTGCCACATCTAATCCATACTTAGTAAATCACTATTTACATCAGCCCATTTTAATTTACCAACAAAAAAAAAAAAAACATGTACATGCAAAACACCTCCAATCAATTAAGATCAAAATCCACGAGTCATGTCTATTATAACATCAGAGCATTTTTTTTATTTCTTCATATTTTTTTTTAATTCATTTTTGCCTCCATCTTCTTTTATTTCCCAAATTATCCGTTTTTTCTTTTTATTCTCTCCCCACCCTCCAGATTCCTGTTTCTCGGGTCCCTCCTTGTCCAACATTCTCTTCGACTCCGTTGTCCACTTCCTCTACTTTTCTTCCTTCTTAACAGCGTTGTTCCTCGCATAGACGTAATAAAAATCCAAATAAAACCAATATTAAAATAATGAGTTTATTACCTCAGAAATATCGCTTCTAATTGGTTCTCCTATCAGACGCAGACATCTAACGAATGTAAAACAGACGTTTGAGACGGGCAAACGTGATGCGATAATGATGACCAAATATCGGCGGATCGCTCCATGATGAGATTTTGAGTTCAATTTTGACCGAAGTCATTCTTTATGTAGAAATCCTAAGAGGGCAAGTCAGCTTATGAAAGACAGTAATCCAATCAGCCGAGATAGGAAAACGTGAATATTTTCGTAAAGTATCCTAATCGAAATGCCAGACTGACAAGTGCATGAGTCGATACTGTTAATTAGTCGACTCTCTAAGTTCAAAACACCGACTTAGACATAATTATTTTCTTTCTATTCTTTTTCGACATTACAGACGTCGTCTGATCTGCAAGGAGGTCATCTTTATATTTTAAAAATATAGACTCAACTACTATTGTATATGTAACAGGCAGGCATGTTTACAACAGTCAAAACTCATACAGGAGGTAGTGAAGGAAGGCAAGAAGGAAGGACATAAGCATCAATTGCAAGAAGATAGAATGCATAGTTGCCAGCAAAAGGAAAAGCACAATATGCAAATTACAAATTCGAAACACCAAAATCAAACAAGAAAAGCAATTTAAATATTTGGGAAGATTTTAACAAAGGGCGGAAAGTGTGACACCGAAATCCCAAGGTTCTATTGAATAGGGTAATATGCCTTCCAAAAGCTAAGCAAAGTATTAAGAAACAGAAAAAATTCATGAGAAACAATAAAAAAAGTACTGAACTATGTTTTTTTTTTTTTTGTTGTTTGTTTGTTTTTTTTTTAAGCATTTCACCCCAAGCAAGGCGGGAGTGCCACTAACCCGCAAGGGGTTACAGGGAGTAGTAGCAAGAATAAAGAGGCGTGATAGATGAAAGGATGAAGAAAAGGACAGGGGAATTAGATCAAGACATCTGGAGATGTCGATTGACATTGCATTTGAATATTTGTAGATTATAGCTATCAGGGAAGCAATTTATATATATCAAGGAAGCAATATCGTGGGATATACTCTATATAGCAGTGAATGATGGACAAGCTCCTCAAACATAAAGACTTGAAATAAAAAAAAAGTTTTTTTTTGTTTGTTTAATGGCATATCAACTCCTTATGGGTCATTTAATGCCAAAACTTTATATACTTCTGAGGTTTTGGTATTTTTTTCTCCAAAAATGTACTGCTGGTAATTTTTTCCAATTAAAGTAGTAGTAGCTTTTTTTAAATATTTTACTATGAAAATTTATTGCTGGTAAGTTTTTCTCATGTGATTTTTTATTTTTTATTTTCATGTTTTGACCCCTGTTTGGTAGTTCACAGTTTGCCCATAGCTGGTAAACTAACAGGTGCTACCACCCGGGGGTCAGGGTGGACCTGGGAAGAACAGTAATTAGGAGGTGGTTCCACGCTCTTCAAAAACTCCCGATAAGATCCCTGTCTGTAGATATATTTCGCTTCCGATGCAGTTCATCGGCATACAAAGAACAAAAACAGAAAAGAGGTTCTACAGAAGGATGCTGAGGATACCAAGGACCGAACCTTTGAGCAACGACGAAGTTTTAGAGAAAATGGAAGCAATAACGAAACTTATACTTAACATCAGGATGAGACAGTTGAAATTTCTAAGTCACATAAAGAGGAAAGAGGGCTTGGAAAATCTGATACTCACAGGACAATATGAAGGCAAGAAGGACAGATAAAAGCAACATAGTGAGATTGAGTAAATGGATGGGGGAACAAGGTATAAGAGAAATAAAAATACATCATTTATTAAGAGCTACAAAGGGCAGGATATTGTGGAGAGCCATCATCGCCTATGTCCTAAAGAGACACGGCACAATGAAGATGATGGTGTTTACTGTCGCAGGGTATGCTCTGTGTAACCGAGCCGAACCTATTGTTTTGACATTAGTATTAATAAAGAATAAGCATGCAAAATTTAGTCCATTTCTAGAGGCTAATTGCTTAACGCATGCGCAGTTAGCATAACAGCTACCGGCGCGAAAAGTGAAATCGACAAACCGAATCTAAGTTTCGGATTCGTTTGATGCCTTCCCTTCGCACTAATACTCTTGTAAAATACATAAATCCCTCGTTTCTGTCCCCTATGTATGGGTTAAATAGCAGGGTAGTCCGTATCTAGGCGGATGGCAGCAAATCTAAGGGGAGGATTATTCTTAATTCAAAACTCCGAAAAAGGCAACAGGAATCCACTCCATTAATCTTTCTCACAAAGGCATGACAATTTATGTGTATTAAAAAAACGGAAGCTGTGGAGAACCATGATTACCTAGCATTTAAATGTTTATTGTACGCAATAAAAAAAACATTATATTATTAGCAGTTTTAATGAAAATGCAAACATATGAACGTTAAATCTTACGACCATTTCACGTTGTAACACCGGTTCCCGTACAGTGACAGAAGTTAAGCAACGTTGAGCCTGGTCAGTACCTAGATGCGTTACTGCTTGAGAATATCAAGTACTGTAAACTTGGATGTGCGGGAGGTGTAATAGATAACTACTGGGAATGAGAAATCGGAGAACCGAGTTCTAATTCCAGTTGGGATCCTTATATTCACTTACGCGCAAATACGCTTAGGAAAGGTATGAATCCATCCCCCCACACACACACCAGTTATGGTTGAACCTGTATCAGTAAAAATCATTATTATCTAAAAAAAAAAAAAAAAAAAAAAAAAAAAAATAATTCTTACAGTCTAAAAATACCTTCTGGTTTTAAATAGCCTGTCAGGGGTTGACAAGCCGTAAAAAATACTGACTCTCTCAAGTCAGATAGACTTCCCCGTGGAGAATAGGCACAGCTCTTGACACAGTAGGAATTATCTCTGTGTATTCTGTAACAAGTAGTTTCTTTCTGGGATGGAGTTGACCCCCATGCACAACCAATTTTGAATTCAGAGATCTCCGTATACTAAACTGGTTGACTACCAAGGCTGAAGAGCCCAATCTGTTTAAGTTTATTACTTAATCTTTGTATGTGTTAAAAATTAAACTATTCTATTAAAAATCTTTAGATTTTGTAAAACTTTGATGGGAAAAGGATGTGTTCTCCGTACCACTCTAGTAAGTACCTGACTTCTCCTGCTACCTTTACAAGAGCCAGGTCAGGCCGAAAATGAAGTACTGCTGCTATATATGGGCAGGGGCTTCCCAGTCTTCACTTCCTAGAATCGATAGTGTCTTCGTATGCTTGTGAGCGACGAATTATTTTCCACCCTAGAAGCCACTTTTCTCACAAACGAAACGATGCCTGACCCTTGCTGTTCCAACGCTATTTCCTGTTGTAGTTGGAGCCCTAGGATTGGTTGGAAAAGATTCCAGTAGGCTAATCGAAGGGATTCATGGAAGTCCATGCCTCAAAGAGATACAAAAAAATTGTTCTGACAAGTACAGCCCACATTTACGAAGGGCATTATCTATGTATTTTTATTTATTTATTTTTTTTTTGTCAGTGAAAAGTGTCATGATGCCATTTCTAACCTTAGCACCCTGGGCGGGACACGGAAAGAAATGTGTAAACGCCAGAAATCAAAGAAAATAATAATAATAATAATAATAATAATAATAATAATAATAATAATAATAATAATAAAGCAGAACCTGGGAAAATTTCCTATTTGAATTTTCCTATGAATCATAATATAATGTTAATGATTGAATAAACTCGTTACGTCCTTATACGGCGATAAAATGGCCGTGGAAATTCCCTTATTGCATCGTTATATATTTGAGCTTAACTTTAACAAAATATTGCAATAACAATAATAACTATGAATGCAGGTCATTTAGTTTGTCGGAGTTAACTCCTCCTTTAGTTCGTTAACCCTTTCACCAGGGGTCGCTCTTCGCTGCTATAAAAAGCCGCTGACCCTTCGCCTCTCTCTCTTTTTTCCCTCAGGCTTCGCGTCGTCACCTGGAGGTAAATCTCTCTTTTTCCTCCGGCTTTCAGCTTACAACCTCGAAATGTAGGCGCTAACAAGGGATAGCGTATCCCCAAAATGCTGGGAACACGCTAAGCACTATACACACACACACACACACACGCACATATATAATATTCACACACACACACTTTGTCCTTTGTAATTGTTTCCATGTAACTTGTTATTAATATATATATTTGTATACATATATTATCGGTCTTGTGTTTTGTTTGTTTCTCCTTGCCTTCTTCTTTGGACTTAATCAAAGTCCAACCTTTTCAAGTAGTTGGGCCGGCGAGCAGGAAAAATCTGAACCCACATGTGTTCTTTTACGTCTACTCAACAACATAACAGCCACGGTCCATTACAAGTTAAAGAAGTAAGAGGGTACAAACAAAAAAATTTTTTTTCCATTTCCTTGAAAGCGACGCTAAACTATATATCGCTTCCTTATATTCTCTAATATTTCTTTCTTTCTCATTTCTTTTTTTTTTTCTCACTGAAATTAAACAGCATCTCCGATATGTTTTATTTCTGTTTTTCCCCGTGATCAAAACAGAATAGTCCATTATCCATGAGGTATTGTCAGGACGTAACGCATGCGCTAACTAAATAACGAACGATACTTTATTTATTTACGGTTTATCAACACTTTAATGGTTAAAGCCGAAACACATTTTGGACTGCAAGAATCAGTCTTTTTTTTACGAGTGAATATTGCATTAAGTTTTCTGAGACTAAAAATGATTATTCCAGATAAAACTATTACTATTTAACCTATAGTTCACAAGGGTATTTGCGTGAAAGCGAATGTAACGAACCTGGCTGCAACTCAGAATCACTATCCATTACACCATCCATACATCCACATTAAGGGACAATCATAATTATAATATGATGTTTAATGGACCAACTGCAGCTTTATATAGCGTTGAATTAATTTGACCACAAATATTATCACGGTTCAATTGATAATGGTCAGATAAGTCAGTTCATTGATGATGGTATAAAACAAGATCGAACAAATCACCCTGTATAGTCAGCTAATGATGATCTTACATAGATAGATAGATTTGAATAATTTAATTTCAACCAAGGCAATAAAGCCGCTAAGACGCAAGAGGTTACTGAGTGTGAAAGAATATGAGAAAAAGAAAAACATTATTAAGAACTGTTATGGGGTCCACCCCTTTTTCATACAAGTGGACTCGACCAGTGTGTACTTGTACTGCTGCCGGTGAATACCCGGTTGTTAGACAGTAAGAGAGATACACTGATACAGTGAACAGTGAGAGAGTGAGAATGTGAGGTAACCACCTTGTAGGAGTCACAGTTGCGAGCACGTAGACTCAGAAGGAAGTCATACTTCGATACTGAATTTCCCAGACTGTATATATATTATTATTGCTACTAACCGCATTTCTGGATCTACTAACCGTATTACCAATTGTATTATTGCGTCAATACATTTATTTGCTATATTTCATTCCTGGGTTTGTCATTCATTTGAGACCGGATTTCATCCCGGAATCCACAACAAGAACAATAAAAGAACAGGAATTAAGAAAACAAAACAGAAAGATTTGTGTTATGTTTGATATTTTTGAAGCTCAAAATTTGCAGGATAGAGAGTTCCACAAGCTACAGGTGTGACGGAAGAAACTGTTAGCATATGGTTTTATCGAGCCATTTCAACTGGAAAAGGGTGAGATCTTGCCGACAATTTGGTACTGCGCTTAAATTCCCAAAGTCTCTTTACCTAAGAGGAAAGCTCACCAGAACAATTGTCATGGAAATATTTATAGAGTTTGAAGAAAAGGCTAAAGATTATATAAAACGACAATAATAACGAGTCATCCCAAGCAGTGCGATAAAGCCACGAAGACGCAAGGGGAAAAGAATCTGAGAGAGGACAATAAAAGAACATGATTCATGGAGCTAGAAGATAACGAGCGACATTGTATCTGAATTCTTGGAATTGACTGGAAAGCAAGAGGCCTGCAGAGAGCTCCACAAGCGAGAAGAGCACGAGAAGAAACTGTTAACATAGAGTTTGCATCTAAGCATTTCAATTTTAGAATGATGAGACCTAGCTGCCAGTCTAGTACTGCGCTGGAATTATAGAATTTTCTCGTACCGAGTTTCCAGTGTTTGTTGTTTCGCTTTGCCATTCACCTAAAGAGGCGATTGTCTCAGTAACCTTTAAACAAGCAGTTGTGTCAGTTCGTGTCACAGACATATTATTGGCTATGAGTCGTATAAGCCAGTGCAGTGAGAAAAGGGATACAGACTAAATATAACCCTAGACATAATCTTATTTAATTTTATCTCGTTCGTGGACTTTGTCAATTACTGTCAGCCAATATGTTTACATGGCTCCGTGGGCCCCTCATTAGAATCGTGGACCGAGCATCCTCGCTTGCGATTTCTTGAAAGACAGCATATATATATATATATATATATATATATATTTCTCTCTCTCTCTGACACACACACACACATATACTCTCTTTCTCACTCTCCCTTCCTCCCCCATCTTTCTCTCTCTCTTTCTTTCTCTCTCTCTCTCTCTCTCTCTCTATATATATATATATATATATATATATATATATATATATATCTGACACACACACGCATATACTCTCTTTCTCACTCTCCCTTCCCTCCCATCTTTCTCTCTCTCTTTCTTTCTCTCTCTCTCTCTCTCTATATATATATATCTGACACACACACACACACACACATATACTCTCTTTCTCTCTCCCTTCCTCCCCATCTTTCTCTCTCTCTCTTTCTTTCTCTCTCTCTCTATATATATATATATATATATATATATATATATCTGACACACACACACACACACATATACTCTCTTTCACTCTCCCTTCCTCCCCATTTCTCTCTCTCTCTTTCTTTCTCTCTCTCTCTCTCTCTCTATATATATATATATATATCTGACACACACACACACACATATACTCTCTTTCTCACTCTCCCTTCCTCCCCCATCTTTCTCTCTCTCTCTCTCTCTCTCTATATATATATATATATATATATATATATATATCTGAGACACACACACATATACTCTCTTTCTCACTCTCCCTTCCTCCCCATCTTTCTCTCTCTCTTTCTTTCTCTCTCTCTCTCTCTATATATATATATCTGACACACACACACACACACACACATATACTCTCTTTCTCACTCTCCCTTCCTCCCCATCTTTCTCTCTCTCTTTCTTTCTCTCTCTCTCTCTCTCTCTATATATATATATATATATATATATATATATATATATCTGACACACACACATATACTCTCTTTCTCACTCTCCCTTCCTCCCCCATCTTTCTCTCTCTCTCTTTCTTTCTCTCTCTCTCTCTCTATATATATATATATATATATATATCTGACACACACACACACATATACTCTCTTTCTCTCCCTTCCTCCCCATCTTTCTCTCTCTCTCTCTCTCTATATATATATATATATATATATATATCTGACACACACACACACACACATATACTCTCTTTCT